CACACACACACACCCCAAACCAATTAGAATGTTCAATAAATCGATTTGCCACCAGAGCTTCTCCTTTGTAGTTGCTGACCAAGAGGAACGTGGGCTCTGGGGTACAAAAAGGATGTTTTCGGTCTGGTTACCTCTTTCTGCCTGATATATTCCTCAGCAGCGTCCTTCTCTTCCTTGATGCTTTTTTTGCCTTCCCACTATGGATACGAAACARTAAAGACTATCAATAGCACAAAATTGGTTTCAATGTAAAGTAAACGATGCTTATTATCATGTAGATCGTTGAAGTGCGACCCTCGAAGTTTAATTTCTCGCAGTTTTCCGACTAGCATTTCGACGACCGTCGATCAAAGAACTGAAATAAAAACCTATAATCCTCCAAAATCTGCCTCAGATATATTTCTTGCAGTTCTTTGATTGACGGTCGTTGAAATGCTAGTCGGCGAACGAGACCATTACATGGATGGCGGAGACGGGGGAGGGGGGCTAGGGTCCCCCCACTTTTTATGAGAATTACATTTTAGTTTGTCTAGGAATAAGAAAAAGAGTTCGTCCAATAACAAGGAGGGGAGGGGAGGACTGCAGCGCTCYCCCCTCCCCCCTCATGCACACACACACTTTAAAAACTGTTCCACCCAGTCCCTGAAGACATCAAAATTCGCGGGTCGCACTTCAACAATAATGGTAGTAATGGTAGGGACACAAGTAATACAAGATGGATGACCAAGTGCACGTGACTTGAAAGATGTACCGCTGRCCGGTACTGGCGCTGCTTAATTATTCATAATTTATCTTACCAGGTACATGAAGTATTCGTTCATGATGACAAAGACGTCATCAGAGCACAAGTTCCCTTGAAGGAATTTCCTCTCTACCATCCATTGCTTCTGCAAAGGAGAAGAAGAAGAAAAAAAAACGAAATCAGTTGAATCAACTGATCCACTTTATCAGGGACCAGGGAGCAAGCTAGACCAGAATGCACCTTGYTCCCTATCMCAGGTCTACCTTCGATCTACATCATAAATGTACTCAAGCTAGACCAGAATGCACCTTGTTCCCYATCCMAGGTCTAGCTTCAATCTACATCATAAATGTAYCCAAGCTAGACCAGAATGCCGTATGTTCCCTATCCCAGGTCTAGCTTTGATCTACATCATAAATGTACCCAAGCTAGACCAGAATGCACCTTGTTCCCTATACTTTAAGGCACAATAAACACAAGATGTACCTTCTTTCCTTTCAGTCCAGCTTCCTCTTCGTGGAATTGAAGAAGGCAACATTTGTCATACTTCGTTCTGTAAGTACATTAATAGATGGTTTTAAAACTGGGTGGACATAGTATGACTTCGTATATAAGACCATTTTTATGATGAAAAAATGGCTTTGAATTTTGGCCACATTAACAGGGCTTCCTGATCATGACGACATGCATTAATTAAACATTTCATCTTTTTTTTGGGGGGGTTGGATCATATGTGAGTTGAGTTTGTTCTCTCCCTTGCCACGAGGGTTTTT